CTCCAAACTGGAGAGGTTCATACTACATAGTTTCGAACTCCAACTCTATAGCTTCGAGCTCCACTCCCACTCACTACCGTCGCCTGGTGTGTGAGTTCTTTCGAAGAATGCTCTCCATGCCTCCATGGCAATTCCAAGATTTGCTATTCGAATCCCCTTGGATCCAGTACCCAACCTCCCCATAAACGGTCGTAAAGGTGCTGAAAGAATTCCGAAATAAAATAAGGAGATGCTACAAGGCATTAATGCTTCCAGATCTCTACACAATATCACCATCCTACACATGGTTCTTGCTAAACCAAGAAGGCAACCTCACTCTCCAATGATCCACCTACCAGGCAATGCAAATGTTGACCCCACATTTCGAGAGGATTCGAATCAACATCCTCTCGCAAAGACCGACAGAGAAGGATCTAGACCACCACATCTCCATCATATCAGCACCGTTGGAAACCCAAATGAAGATTTGGGACTTAGATGGGACATAGAGAACTTCGCAGACCTTAACTTGGGAGAAAAGAGCGCTCCCTGCAGTACTCCGCCAAGCATTCCCCACAACACTCCGCTCAACATCCTCTTCTTCAGCACTAAGGGTGCCGTTCGCCCTAACGTCCTCCAGCACTACATGCACCTACACTCTTATGGAAGCTTCCATCTCGTCATCATTACAAACATGAAAAAAGGAGAAAGCGAAGTCTAGTTTATGAGTCAAATCATGGGCTACTCCAACACCAAGACCATGAACCCACCTCCCAGTGGCATGGAAATAGTGACGGGCGGGATTTGGGGCCTATAGAACGAAGCTAAAATCTCATGTGAAGTAATAGAGATCTGGTGGAATGAGGTCTGAAATCTTATGTGAAATCGTAGAGATCCCGTGGAATGAGGTCATCGCCCAACAAGCCCACATTTTCTTCCGGCCCGTTCATACTAGATGAAATTAAAATGTGAATTCTCTATGGGTAATAAAAATAAAAATAAAAATCTTCCTTTTATTCAAAAGAAATCAAATTTTATTAATTGCATGAGTTATATTTTCGACATCTTTATCATACATGTACAGACACTCTTATGAGAATATCTGTACAGGGGCATAAATGTGGGCATCTATATTATGCTTGGCATGTGGCGAGCCCTACGGTCGTCACTTCATCACCATCACACATCCATGTGGCAGCCCCCTAAGGCACCACGATGAGTTGGGGTCATATGCCTAGCCTAAGCGAGGGCATGCACACCACCAAATATAAAACAAGGCCACAACTCACTTTGATAGAGCTAGCTCACCTAGAGCTCTTCATGGCCCTTCCCCAGCCCCATAGCAACGTAGTTGGACTGTTGACTCACCTATGTTTACTTAGCTGCTCAAGATAAGCCCTTGACTCACCCATGCACTCACCCCCTTGGCTGCCTAGGTTAGGAGCAGGACCTATGCACTCCCACTTGGGATCATTGGAGGATTATGGATTGGAGGCTAAGACCTCGGGATCATCAAGGTCGTGTAGTTGTCTCCCTGCAGTGATAGCTCCCCTTTTAACCTGGCTAAGAGAAAGGGACTTTGACCTTATACTTACATCTGATGCACATATGATACGCCTCTCAAGATATCACACCTACACATGCAGCTCCTATAATGCAACCTTCCCAGGGACCTGAATCATAAGACACAGCTAGTAGGGCATCATAAATGCAGCCACAATCACACAACAAAAGCAACAAGAATCCCATAACATACACTAAGTGTTCAAGGTCACTCACTGCCACCCCTTTCCTCTCTAAGCTTGCCTTGGTCTTCTCCTCTTCCACCTCCGTGATCTTAGGCCATTAAAGTGCCCACCATCTTCCCAGAGTATCTCTAACCACACCTATTACCCACATTACATCCACAATGTACAATGTAAATAAATAAAAATAAAATATTTATTTATTTATTTATTATATACTCTTTAACTCAATTTACTTTTGAAACACGTTGATAGTATTGGTACTATTTTAATATGTTTGATCATTATATCCTATACTTCGCACTAGTTTAACAACTAGTTGTAAATTGTAATAGTAAATCCATCACTACCATCAACATACTACCATAATTATTGTAATAGAAGAACCATCGTCCCACCAAGAACAAAAAAAAATATATACTATTTCCCATGTGGTTTGACAAATATTCCCAAAACTGTTATTTTACAAGGCCCTCTAACTAATATCATTTTAATGCAAGTGATGATCCTTGGTGGTGTTTGATGGCATTTGATAAATTTCTTCAGGCTGTTATTTATCTGTGGCATGGATTTTAAGTACTCTTGCATTTTCAATCCTCCATTTTGCTTTTTGCTCTCTCCAAAGCATCGTCTTTTACTTGTTGCAATAACCCATTTAAGTATTTTTCTCCACTGGCAATGTAACTTATCTTATGAAAATCCGATTCCTGTAGAAAATAACATATGATGCCAGATTTTGTTGACCTGGAATCATATACTTCAAAGATATTTACAGTTTTAATTAGCCATTTATACCTCTTTCGCTTGATCATGTTTGTTGCCATATGTCAACGTTGAAGTCGTGCTTTGTGTTTTGCTTACCCAAAAAGATAATACATAAGTTTGTTTTGCTCGCCTACATTCTTTCATTTTTCTTCTCTTTTTCCTTTTCTTTTTCTTTTCTCAGTTACAATAAATTAAAGGTTAGTATTTTATTTTACTTTATGCGGTTGATGTTATGTAAATGCTGAACCTTGCTATCTCTCCAGCTTGTGATGGTGGTTGATGCAAGGGACCCACTTTTCTACCGTTGCCCTGATCTCGAGGTAAGGAACTTTCTTTTAGTTGCTTAATGGAGAGGTAAAATAACATGATATAATCAGGAAATGATTATTGCAAATCTCTTATTAGAGAATTGGAGGATATGACTATGATAACATTGTAGAAAATCTCACGTGACAATAAATTAGTTCAAACCTTTGAAACTTTAAAATGTTAATGCTATTGTTTGATGTACGATTATGTAGTTGTGGCGTGCACTTTTTTATTAGGTTGTTATGTATGCTTATGTGAAATCGTAGAGATCCCGTGGAATGAGGTCATCGCCCAACAAGCCCACATTTTCTTCCGGCCCGTTCATACTAGATGAAATTAAAATGTGAATTCTCTATGGGTAATAAAAATAAAAATAAAAATCTTCCTTTTATTCAAAAGAAATCAAATTTTATTAATTGCATGAGTTATATTTTCGACATCTTTATCATACATGTACAGACACTCTTATGAGAATATCTGTACAGGGGCATAAATGTGGGCATCTATATTATGCTTGGCATGTGGCGAGCCCTACGGTCGTCACTTCATCACCATCACACATCCACGTGGCAGCCCCCTAAGGCACCACGATGAGTTGGGGTCATATGCCTAGCCTAAGCGAGGGCATGCACACCACCAAATATAAAACAAGGCCACAACTCACTTTGATAGAGCTAGCTCACCTAGAGCTCTTCATGGCCCTTCCCCAGCCCCATAGCAACGTAGTTGGACTGTTGACTCACCTATGTTTACTTAGCTGCTCAAGATAAGCCCTTGACTCACCCATGCACTCACCCCCTTGGCTGCCTAGGTTAGGAGCAGGACCTATGCACTCCCACTTGGGATCATTGGAGAATTGTGGATTGGAGGCTAAGACCTCGGGATCGTCAAGGTCATGTAGTTGTCTCCCTGCAGTGATAGCTCCCCTTTTAACCTGGCTAAGAGAAAGGGACTTTGACCTTATACTTACATCTGATGCACATATGATACGCCTCTCAAGATATCACACCTACACATGCAGCTCCTATGATGCAACTTTCCCAGGGACTTGAATCATAAGACACAGCTAGTAGGGCATCATAAGTGCAGCCACAATCACACAACAAAAGCAACAAGAATCCATAACATACACTAAGTGTTCAAGGTCTCTCACTGCCACCCCTTTCCTCTCTAAGCTTGCCTTGGTCTTCTCCTCTTCCACCTCCGTGATCTTAGGCCATTAAAGTGCCCACCGTCTTCCCAGAGATCAACGACCAATCGCCTCTAACCTCTATCACCCATAATAGTTGAGGGGGTCAATCCGTACGGGTTCATAGATGAGGGGGTAAAGTGATATTCAATAATAGTTAAGGGAGGGTTTTGGTGTAATTAATCCTATGGAGATAACAAATGACCCTACCTTAAGTTATTTTGTTCAAGCTCTTATACAATGTAACAATATAGCATTAGAACTATTCTCTTTTTCTTTTTCTTTTTTGTATGCCATTCCATACAATATCCAAAACTTCACTAAATTTTTGTTCAAATTGTATGAGTCTCACACTACAAACATCTAATGACTCAACTCTCTCAGCTCCACAAATAAATTTTGTAGATCTACAACAGATGATTGCCTATAATTTCCATAAAAGTTGTCTCAAAAAAAGTGAACCAAAGTGGATAGTATAACCACCCAAGTAGTTGGGATAAAGCTTTGTTGAGTCAACTTGAGTTTGGGGTTTTTTTTTCTTTTTCTTTTTTTCCCTGCAAAACCTAGAAGTATAATCCTGTGATTTGAGTTCTCTTTACAATATCATATGCAGCATAAAACTAGAACCTAATAATCATAAAACTTAACTAATGAGCATATCGCAGTCTAACAGGGTTTGTGAAACATGAATCCGGCTCCTATGAAAGTATACTACTCAATGATTCTCAAAATCCATATAATAATCATAACATAAGATTTTGAAGGTAAAAGTGTTATAGGGAGAAAATCATGTATAACATAAACATATAAAGGGTAGCGTATTAGAAGATACATGGAGATGAGGAAATATAGATGTAAAGGGTCCAAGAATAAAGGATAAAATATAATTTTTTGTATTAAAAAATAGGAGGTCAGGGGTTCGAGACTCCTCTCCCCCAAGCTACAGCCTCCTATATACCAAAAAAATGTTTACAAAATAAAGGACATGATGATATGAAGGAAAAATAACTCACCATTGCAGCCACCCATATGCAGCACTTGAAGCTTAAAAGCCAATGATTTGGCATTGTTGTCATCAGTTTGCTGAGTACGAAAGCGGTTTAAATTAGGAATGCCAGATGTCAGAGCCAGAATAGAGTTTTGTCCAAAAGAAGTATCACAGACAACAAGTGAATGCAGCTTTATACATCTGAGTACAAGAATTGAGATGCCAGCATCTGTCACTGAAGTACACCCTCTAAGGTTCAGGTAACATAAGGAAGCACATAATTCTGAGATATTTTTTAGCTCATAATCTGCCGAGAGAGAGAGAGAGAGAGAGAGAGAGGTTACTATGTTGAAGCAACACAATAGAAACCTATGCAGAAATTATTAACAAAAACTTTGCACTAATATTTAGAAAAAAAGGGGTATATTCACTTTACCCCTTGCATTTGTCCCAAAAACATATGCATCCCCTCAACTTTAGACTTACACCCCATGAACTCCAGACTACAGTGAAAACATGGCTGGCGTCAAAGCATGGACACTTCTATGGAAAAGGCATCAACACTCTGTTGACACTCCTAAAAGTGTGTTTGACACTTCTTCAATATGTCATAATTAAAATTAAGGCCAAGTTTGGCATACTTCAAATAAACCATCTTTTTATCTTTTTTTCATCACATCACCTCTCTACTTTTCTGCACATTTTTTGGTAAAAAGACAAAAAGTACACTTATTTAGGTCATCCCAAACAACCCCTAAAATTCATAATATCAGACACTTTATAGACACTTCAGCAACATTTCTTGAACCCTTCCGAACACAAGCTATATGATGAATCTCTTCATAATAACATTGTGTTGCATTCTTCATAATGCAATTTGTGCAGTCTAAATATGTTTTGAAACATTTATAAAACGAATATATCACATGTATTTCAATGTCTACAATTATTTTTGCATTCTTTACAATGCAATTGTTATGTGAATGATTAAATTATTAAGCATACGGTTTTTAATTTTAATTAGTGTTATATTACTTTTTTTATTACCTTTAAATAAACTATTCATATATTTGGCATATAATAAATTTATAAAAATATAATTTTTTAACGTGCCACACGTGTATCGTGTCCTATGTTTTTTGAAAATTGTTGTGTCACCATGTTGCATGTCCATGTTTGTGCTACTTAGGCTAGTGTTAACAGAAAATTGGAAAAGACAACTCGAATCATAAAAGAAATGAAAAGGAACATGGGTATAATGTGCAGGAAAGCATGTACAGAAAATTGACTTTTTCCCACCCCAACATTTGAAGTATAACACCTCAGCCAATTCAATTCCAAACCAACAAACATAAGTTGCTAATGATTCTCACTATTAATTTGCATAGAAATCATAAAAGAAATGGCAGGCTACAAATTTCACACCAAACATAGAATCCTAAGAATATTTGCCACCAAGCTAGGAAGCACTGACCCTTCAAAATAAGTGTCATAACCATGTCGGACATGGGGACACGTATGGTTAATTTTTTTTTAGGGGGCACGCCAAGTAGTTCCCCCCACCCCTATGAAGCATGGGTACTCCAAAAATAGTGCCGTACAAGTACCGGGTACTTACCGGGTGCGGGTACACGTACCGGTACTATTGCACGCGTACAAGGTACGGCAAAAGGGGGTCCGGTTCGTTTGGTTCATTCGAGTACGGCATGGGTACGCCATGGGTACATGTACCGGGTACGGCAAAAGAGGTCCAGTATGTTTGGTTCATTCGGGTACGGCGTGGGTACGCCACGGGTAAGCCGGGGCCATTTTTTTTTTTTTTTTTTTTTGGTGCCCTTGCAAATCAACAATTTTGATGCTTCTCTGCTGTCCTGTCTATTTGTATGAATTGTATAAGCATATCAGCAAATGATTTTGATGTTTTTCAAAAGCAATTTGAACAAAAAAAATAACAAGGCCTATAAAGGGCAGTTCTGTGTATGACTATGCATTATGCTTTTGCTTCAGATCCTCCTAGAATTTCTTATAAAATCTTTAATCATAACAAACTTTTAAAGTTTATGCACAAAACATTAAAAATTGATACGGTATTAGTTGATTAGTAGTGGTTGGGAATGATGCAATTTTATGTATTATGCAAATTACAATTGACAACCTGCCTCAATTGAGAATTTTTTTTCCTTTACTGTTGGCAATTAACTTTAAATTTTTCTTTGGTCTCCCATTATTTCTTTGGTCTCACCCTATAAAAATAGCAAATTGATGAGCAAAAAAAGATTTTAAAAATAAATTATGATCACAAATTCACAGTGCATAACATGTCAAAGTGAGAGATTTCACAAATATTATTTTTAACGCTTAATGGTTTTAAATTATAGGAAAATGAGTAGTTCTCTTTTTAGTTTTGATATTTAATTTTAATTTGTAGGTTGGATCCTTTAACCATAATTATATAAAAAATATATATATATCGGCGTACCGCAGTCGTACCCGTATCATACTTTTTTTTGAGTTTTGCCAAATCGGCGTACCGGCACTCGTACCCGTACTCGTACCCGCACCCGTGCTTCCTTGCCCCACCCACCCTCTTTCTGTAGTGCTTTTGATGGATTTGAATACTTAATAGTTCATCCATAAAAAAGATATAGACGATTAGTGTTAATTTAAAAGTGATTTTTTATTATTTTTAATATTGAACTAGTATTAGTTTTTGTTAAATTTGATTGTTTGTGGATATAATATTAATCTACATAGCAAAAAAATATTGTATTGTCATATCCCCACCGTGTCCGTGTCCACATTTCTTTAAAATCACCGTGTCCCATGTCCAAATCCGTGTCCGTGCTTCTTAGCCACCAAGTATACTACCCACCATTCCATGGTCTCCACCCCACACTTATGCTAACTACTATCTAAGCAATAATTTGATCTTTACATGCAAAGGAAAGCTAGTACCCAATGTGGAGAGAGAGAGAGAGAGAGTAAATATCATACCACTCACATCCACTCGACCTTCCAATGTGAGTTTTGTAATATTTGATAGCAATGATTTGGACATATATAACTGTGAAGCACCCGAAGGATAAGCATCAATTTCTAAAGATACTGTTGAACCTCGCGATGTTAATGCTGGACTTGAAGATACAACTGAGACTTGTGATGGTATAACTGGACTGACATCCACCGTTAAGTCAACTTCACTAAGGAGGGGACATTTTTGCACCAGTTGACACAACTTCATCATCCTGAAGTTCAAAGAGTGGGCTGCCTTCAATACTCTCAAGCATGGAAATGACTTGCAGAAGCACTCAATGGCAGCTTCAAGGTATAGCCCTGGACAGTTGGAAATATCCACTTCCTCTACTACTTCAAAAGACAATGTTGGCAGTAAAGCCCATGCATTCTGCCATTGATTCTTATCAAGCTGTTCAAGGTTTATCGAAAACTGTTTAATAACCTTGCTCGGCATGGGGTCAGTACTGTGTGAACAAAGAAGCATTGACACGAGTAGAATTGCGAACTTCATTTGTGGGCAACCTGAAAGGTCCACTTTCTGCACTGAAGAGGAAAATTTATATCATACAGGTCTATGATCAGTGAATCAGTTACATGGAAGTCCAGCAATCAACTGTAATTTAGGCAGGAAGATGTTGCCACAGAATCTAATGTATTTCTACGACTAAAATACATACATATATATATAATAAATAAATAAATAAGAAAGAAAGAAAGAAGAAGAAGAAGAAAAAGTAAAAGAAGAAGATACTAATAAAATCATAGATTTTTTCAATTTTTTTTATCAAACTCAGAGCCATGAGTTTCGGGATGTAGGTGAGCAGAACATACAAAAATTGGGAAGAGAATAGCTTCAAATAAAAGAAATAAGCATACATAGTAGACCAATATGAAAAGTTGTTCCTATGACTATGGAGTGCTGCAAAGAGCAGATTGTGTACAAATCTCGTGTTCAGCTTTATTGCACAAAATGGCTGCTTCAAACTCCAAGCCATACTAATACTCAACTCAACTAAGCCTTGTCCCAACTATTTGGACTCGTCTACAAGAATCTTCCATTCCGCTTGATCAAGGGGCCATGATTTCAATTAAACCACAAACTAAGATGTATTTCTTTATTATCTCAACCCATGTTAATTTTGGTCTCCCTCATCTCCTAGCATTACCCCCAATATGGATAGTGTCATTCTTCCTAATTGATGCACTAATTGGTCTTCATTATATGTGATCAAACCATCTTAAATTTTTCCCTCATTATATCTTCAACAGGTGCTATCTCTACCATATCCAGAATTTGTTCAGTCCTATTCTCATCTTTCTTAGTTTTCCACACATCCACCTCAATATTCTTATCTCAGCTATGCTTAATCTTTTGAACTTTCGTTTTTTTATTGATTGTTCAACATTTCTCTACTATAAAGCACGGTTGATCTTGTAGTCGCCTTGTAGAACTTTTCTTTTAATAGCATGGGCATATGTCAATCATACAAGACATCATCACTTATCTCTCCACAAGACATCTACACTTTGTCTACCCATCTCAATCCTATGAGTAACATCATCACTTACCTCTCCCTCTTTATGTACTATGAAGCACGGCTATGGATATGGGAAATGGATATGGTGATATAGAAAAACCTTAGAAGAATAAGATATGTGTACAGCCAAAAACATTTGTAGGCTCAGGTGGGAGGCACCGATTTTGGGAGACATAAGTTGGTTTATGAGTTGGAGACGCCTAATGCTGTGTTTGGTTGAGGGATTTGAAGAAGGATTTGGAAAGGGAAAGGGAAAAGGTAGGTGAAATGTGAATAAAACATGCCTATATTTCACCTAATTTCACACACCTTTTCCCTTTCCCTTTCTAAATCCCTCCCCAAATCCTCCAACCAAACACAGCGTAAAAGTTATCTTGAAAACATCTCAGGACGCCCTAATTATAAATAGGGGCCTAGGGTGAAGACCAAAACATGCTTGGAGTACTTCAGTATTAAATAGTTGACCACCAACTCATCTAAAAGCTTAAGCTATTAGAGAGAGGGACAACATTATTATTTATATCAAATTATATTCTCAACATATTCCCTCAAGCGTGGCCGCGCTTTTCTTCATAGGTGGGCCAAACGCATGCAAGTATTATAATTATTGAGTTGGCGTAAAATTCAAACACAAGATTTATTGTCTACTCTAATACCATATTGAATTGTTGACCAAGAACTCATCTAAAAACTTAAGCTATTAGAGAGAGGGACAACATTATGAATATATTAAATTATATTCTCAACATTCAGAGTACATAGTGTTGAATATCATTCATTCTCCAGGTGTTCTACATCATTGTTCATATATTGATGAGTGCTCTAGTGGATTCCAAAGGTTGATTAGTTGGTGGATTGTATTTGTTAAAATGTACCAAAACCTACCACTACACCTACTCCACCCACTTCACCTACTCCACCTACTACTCCACCTACTACATACCTACCTCCTCTAATCTTCTATATATAGGACTCATTGTAAACACATAAAATTATCAATCAATAATACATCAATTTTAACAATATTCATGGAAAAAAAAAATTTATGTACCAAAACCTACCACTACACCTACTCCACCCACTTCACCTACTCCACCTACTACTCCACCTACTACATACCTACCTCCTCTAATCTTCTATATATAGGACTCATTGTAAACACATAAAATTATCAATCAATAATACATCAATTTTAACAGTATTTAGTTGTGGTGGATTCTAGAAGTATCATGGATTTAGTACTCAACACCATTGAAGACATATCGTGGATTTCGTCGGTACATGGAGCATATCAACTACCTCAAGAGTTCGACACTGTGGATTCGATTAGAGTTGATCTGTAAGTTGTATTTTGTTCTTTGTGATAGTGGATTGATTGGCTATACAAGGTCCCGTGGTTTTTCCCATTTGGGTTTTCCACGTTAAAAATCGAGAGTATCATTTTGTGTGATTGATTTACTTTTTGTGCTTGCAATATTGATTGTGTGATTAAATTAATCAACCAAACAATATGAAAGCAAATCCAAATCAACGAATTAATATTTCTTTCACAATTGACGAAAGGAACAAAAATTCCATTTGTTCCATCAAAACAGTTGAAACATTTTCGCTTCCCAAGTAACTAAATTGAATGTGATAGTTAATTGGTTTTTTTTTTTTTTTTTTTGAAAATAATAAGAATAATAATATATAAAATGAAGTGTTGGAATACAGTGGAATCAAGTAAGGCTAGTATAATATATTTTAGTGGGGAAAAGAAAGATGGGTATGTTGATGATATAATAAAATAAAAGTGGATATGTGAAAGATGTTGTTTTGGGTGGAGAATAGTTTAGAATGGAATTGGAAAAAAGAGTAAAATTAATGTGAAAGAAAAATAAAGAAAAAATAATAAAAATATATTTCAAATCAAAAATGAAAGATGGGTTTGAAGAAAATAAATAAAAATAATGGAGTTGGAAATCAAACGGAGGAGAGATGATGGGCTTGTTTGGTTTGTTTTTGGGAGAGTTGTTTTTTAAAAAAATTTGGGAGAGTTGTTTTAGAAATTTTTTGGGTTTGTTTGGTTGTATATTTTAAAAGTAATTTTGGAGTTTAGGAGTTTGGAATGATTTGATATTTTGTTGTAATTGAGTAGATGTGTGTAAGAGAAAAAGTGATTGAGAAAGTGAGAGGAGAGAGAAAAAGTGATTGATTGATGTGTAAGAGAGAGAAAGTGATTTTAAAAATTTTTTGAGAAAAATCTCAAACCAAACAATTTTTTGAAATTTTTTTTCTAAAACTCATCTTTAAAACTCAAACCAAACATACCCAGTATTTTTTGCTTTTTCTTTTCGGATGTTTAATGACTTTGTTGAATTTGACTTGTAGGTTTTCAAGAGTATATATATATATATAATAAAGAAAGTGGGGAACAAGAGTGTAATGAAAAGAAAAAGTATAGGTGGGAACATCGTGGGTCACATGGGTGAGTAAAAGAAAAAAATAAATAAAGAAATGAAAAGAGGGGGACAAAAGTTGGTGTCTGGGTGTTTGTTTTGTTTCGGTGGAATAGAAAAAAATAGTAAGAAGAGAATGGAAAACGGGTGATGCTCACGAACAACAAAAGGGTTATCTGTCGCAATGGGTGGAATACAGCGGGAATATCAGAAACTGCAACACCGATGAAGAAGATGAGGAGGACCGATATCTCTGATCTCATGGAAAACGGCAACCAGGGAGAAAGAGTACCCAGGGAAGTGCAAACAACAGCAAATCAGCAAGCGAGACCGAAGGTCAGGGGCCAGATGGAGCCGCGGCGAGCCCAAGTCATCAGATCGTCGACGTTCGAGAGCACGAACGCCGCCGCCTTCGACATCCACCCGGCGACGTCATCGACGGAGACGGAGGGCGGGAGGAGTGCGTGGGCTGCGACGGCGATGGCGATGTATTACCACCAAGGAGCTTGGCACTGTGATGCAGTCTTTGGGACAGAACCCAACAGAAGCTGAGCTTCAGGACATGATCAATGAGGTTGATGCTGATGGAAATGGGACAATTGATTTCCCAGAGTTCCTCAACCTGATGGCCCGGAAGATGAAGGATACTGACTCTGAGGAGGAGCGTAAGGAAGCTTTCCGGGTTTTTGACAAGAACCAGAATGGCTTCATTTCTGCTGCTGAGCTCCGCCATGTTATGACAAATCTTGGTGAGAAGCTCACAGATGAGGAAGTGGACGAGATGGAAAGGTATGTGTAGAAAACTCCAGCGGGCAGTGAAGGTATGTTATTTTCTTGTTTTGTTACTCTCTCCAAACTCAAGTTGGTTAGTTCCTATCCCCCTTGAGTTTGCGGGGGGCTGTTAAAATGTACCAAAACCTACCACTACACCTACTCCACCCACTTCACCTACTCCACCTACTACTCCACCTAGTACCTCCTCTAATCTTCTATATATAGGACTCATTGTAAACACATAAAATTATCAATCAATAATACATCAATTTTAACAGTATTTAGTTGTGGTGGATTCTAGAAGTATCATGGATTTAGTACTCAACACCATTGAAGACATATCGTGGATTTCGTCGGTACATGGAGCATATCAACTACCTCAAGAGTTCGACACTGCGGATTGGATTAGAGTTGATCTGTAAGTTGTATTTTGTTCTTTGTGATAGTGGATTGATTGGCTATACAAGGTCCCGTGGTTTTTCCCATTTGGGTTTTCCGCGTTAAAAATCGAGAGTATCATTTTGTGTGATTGATTTACTTTTTGTGCTTGCAATATTGATTGTGTGATTAAATTAATCAACCAAACAATATGAAAGCAAATCCAAATCAACGAATTAATATTTCTTTCACAATTGACGAAAGGAACAAAAATTCCATTTGTTCCATCAAAACAGTTGAAACATTTTCGCTTCCCAAGTAACTAAATTGAATGTGATAGTTGTTCTCTCCCAATTAAATCAACCCTTGAGAAGAATGTCAAAAAGGTAAGAAAAAGAAAAACATCCAAGGTCACACAAATTGAAGTGCAGAAGACAAAAGGAGAATCATAAGGGGAAAACCTTGGTATATTGTGTCAATCTGATCTTGAGGTGGTGTGAGCCAATGTCTCCCAAGACATTCATCATGCTAGTAGATGAATGTGCTGTTAGATCAAGGATAGCTTCAATGCTCTGGTTAGCAAATTTCAAAAAGTAGCAGCATCTTCTTTTCCCTGAAACATGGACCAATTTTTATTGATAAAGTAGAATGATTTAAGAGCGAATGCACATAAATATATCATTTCAGTGCTTTAGATAATTCATTCAGAAAGTTTAGCATACCTGCAGCAAACCACAATGGTAAGAGGCTAATGCGGATCTGCTCAACACAAACAACAAGTACATGGGGAAAAAACAATAATTTATTGTACAATTACACCAGTATAAATGCAATGAATAATATACATGTAAAGTGAGGATTACATATTCAAAAAATTCATATAAGTATAAACTTTAAATACATTCCCCGAGTTCAAGAATATTAAATAGAATAAACTAGTTTTCAAACCGTGCTATGCACATGTAGTGTATAAAATTTTATTTTATATAAATATTTTTTAACATATCATATTATTTTGTGCAAATCACTTAAAAATTTGATGATAAAGTTAAATAATTGAGTTTTAAAATATTGTACAATAATATAATTGATTCCAACTCATTTTTTAAAACAATCATAGTATTGTATCTTGTGAACAATTTAATATGCTTTTTGACAGTTGGGCATAATTCAAAATCAAAAAATATATTTTTTGAAATTTTGAACTCATTTTAATTCAAATTTTATATGGTTTCATTTTTGAAATCTTTGTAATGTATTTTCTAATAAAGAGTCTGTTTTAGATATTATAGAAAAGTTCACACAATTAACATTAATAATTTTCAATCCTGTAAACTTCTGAAAAACATAAACCAAATCAAACCAAACTAAGCCATAAGTCCCATCAAATAGGATCGACTTTATGAATCCCTCTCCACTCAACTCTATCCAAGACCATTTCGTTAGTCAGATTAAGGAGGTTCATATCTCTATTTATTAAGCTAGTCCACATCAATCTAGGTCTGCCCCTTCCCCTAACGCTTCCATCTACCGTCACTGTATCGCATCTCTTCACTACTGCCACTGTTGGTCTCCGTTATATATGACCAAACCATCTCAATCTATTTTCTCTCAACTTATCTTTTATCGGTACTACTCCTACCCATTCTCGAATATCCTCATTCCTAACTCTATCTTTTCTAGTCTTGCCACACATCCACCCTAGCATCCTCATTTCAGCAACACTCATCTTATCTATATGTTATTTCTTAGTTGCCTTACATTCCGACTCATATACCATCATTGGTCTAATAGCTGTTCTATAGAGCTTCTCTTCTAGTCTAGTGGGTACTCGTTTATCGCACAGTACCCTAAACGCACTCCGCTACTTAAGGCACCCCACCTTAATTCTATAGACCACATCCGCTCCAATCTCTCCAGCCGTTGTGATAATTGATCCTAAATAACTAAAAATATAAAAAAGAAATGTATGATTAGATTCCATAAACCCAAATTTTTAGTAGCATAAAAAAAATGTAGCAAAATGAGATTGGTTTAAAAACTTGATTTCAAATACTTTTACATTTGTCTCTATCTCCTAAATTTTTGTATATACAATACTAATGTTAAAACATAAGAAATTAATATTCGCGCAAGTCACTTACTGTCTGTTTTCTCATGAACAAACACTATTTTGAAGGTTTCCTATACCCCAGAATATCAAGACTGTCAAAATGCGGGATACAAAATAAAGACACAGATAATAAAATCAAAATTTAAATTCAACATACACAATCATCTATGTTTTAATATATATATATATATATATGAAAACCAAATTAAGACAACAATTTATGCAAGCACTGGTATGAAGACTAATTGGTGATTGAAATTTTGCAATTCCAACCAGTAGAAAACAACGAAAGAAAAATAAATTAAAAGAAGAAAAGTGAAGAAAGATTATCATACTAATAGAAGAGGAAGAGTACCAATAGAAAAAGATAAAAGAACAGGTGCAAAAAATAATCTTCCTTCTATAAAAAATAAATAAATAATACAAAGTTATTTTTATTAGTTAAATTAAATATGAGGATTTTAAGAGAAGAGGAAATAAAAAGAAGAGAATAATAAAAGAAAATAAAAAGGCACATGACTTAATAAATTTTTAGAGATATTAAAAGAGAAAATAAAAAGTAGATAACGGAAAAAAAAAATTTAAAATATGAAAGATATTTTGTGAGCACATTTAATTGAGGACATGAGGCAACTTTTAATATTGCCATGTGGCAAATTCTTAGAACATGTTATTGAAAGACACAAATTTACTTATATATTACATGATAAATATACAAGTAGAATATTTGGGAATATGCTACCCTCCAATCACACGATTCCCAAATATTCTTTGAAATCACTCTAAATCTTGTCACAATATATAAAATCATTTCACAATTTTTTTAGAACCATCCATTAACATTGAATTATGGTTACGTCAATGTTGAGGCTCAAGATGCATGACATCATTAGCATTCTATAGAGTTGTGATGCATCCACAAAGGGTAATTTTTCTTAGCAGATTATAAAGAGTAATGCTATACATACACAAATTTCTTACCAAATTTTCTTACCACTATACACAAAAAGGTAGTGGAGCGCACATTAATCAATACGTGTGGGACCCATTGTTTTGTCTAGTGGTAAAGCATTTTCCTATTATAAAATCTCTACCTTTTAAGCATAAAAACATGGCACGAGTAACACTTAATAATACATGTACGAAAATGAAAACATAATCGTCCTCATTTAAGCATATGCAGTCAATTAATCCGTTGTATATTGCTTTTATGTATAACAACTTTTTTTTTTCCCTTCCTCTTGGAACATCTATCAAGGCAAAATTGGTCTGGGATTTGGTGATAGAGAGGTTCCAAAGGCGTTTGGCACGATGGAAGAGCTAGTATCTATCCAAAGGGGCAAGGTTGATCTTGATTAATAGCACTTCATCTAGCCTCCCAACTTATTTCATGTTATTGTTTACTATCTCGGCTTCAGTTGTGAAGCAGTTAGAGAAGGTACAACATGATTTCCTTTGGCGAGGGGATGGGGAGAAGTTTAAATATCATTTGTTGGATTGGGACACAGTTTGCTCTTCCTTGAAGAAACGAGAGTTGGGGAAGTGGTTGTGGAGGTTTCCCTGCAAAAAGAAGAGGTGTTGGAGAAGACTAGTGGCTTGCAAGTAGGGAATGTTTGAGGGGGTGAACATTAGTGGAGATTTCCTTGTCCTATGGGGTTGGGATTAGTAGTGGGTGTAAGACTTTTTATGATCATATTTAGTTTATGGTGGGGGGGAATGGGAAGCAAGTTAGGTTCTAGAACCATTATTGGTGCAGAGACATTTGCTTGAAGGATGCATTTCCAAATCTTGATCGCATTGCTATTGACAGAGACGTCTCAGTCAATGACTACCTTCAATTGTTTGATGGTCAAGTTTTCTGGAATGTTCACCTTCGGAGATAGCTTAATGATTGGGAGATGACGGAGTTGATGGATCTCTTTGGGGGCCTTTATTTTACCCATAATAGTGATAGTGGTGATTTGGTTCGATTATTAAAGTCCTCCTCTGACTAGTTTAGTGTGAAGTCTTACTATACTACTCTTGTGGGTGTTAGGGGGTCTTCCTTCACATGTAAAGGGATTTGGGGTACTAAAGCCCTATCTAAGGTGGACTTCTTTGATTAGTGTTACACCTTGATCATAAGATTCTTTATTTTTCTTTCTGTCATCTAAAGTCTTCTCAGAAATATAAAAGAAAAAAGAAAGAAAATGGTGTAAAGCATGGAAAGAAGACAACCGCCAAATCAGTATCTTTTATTAAAGCTTGTACAAGATATTATTTAATGGAGTTTAAGCTTACTTTTAGTATTAGTTCTATGTTTCTTCTATGTTAGAATGCTATTGGATCAGTTTCATTAGGATTGTGTCAAGAGTACTTCAATAGTCAGCCATGGATCATGTTATAGTCAAATATTATTCCTTCAGTGAGAATTTTGTGATTATGCTAATCTTCGTAGCTGTGTGATGCATTATACAATCTTACCTCAGGGGATAATTCCTAAGAAATTCTAAGTGAGATGCGTTACGCAGTCTTACAAAAACTGCATAATGCCAAAAACTATTACAAAAACTATTTTGGAGTATCACAGCCCCCCTAAAAGTACTTTGAACCCCAAAACACTAACCTATTGATGCCCAACCAACCAAAACTCTTCCCCTAGTTTTGTCCTTTGATTTAATACAAAAACCATAAAAGGCTGCTGTCCAGAACTTCCAGCAACCTGCCTTTTGGAAATCCACCCAAATCTCACGCCTTTTATTCTACAAACTTTAGAAACTTAATACCTAAGAGAAACCTAACCTTGGAAATTTTTCATAACCAAGGCCCACAACATTTCCAACTGGAAGCAAACTTCGTCCAAATTTCCTAAAGATGTTCTACATCAAAAAGAAAGGGGAACTCTTCCACCAAAAGTATATTGTTCCTCAACAAAAAGGATTGAAACATCTCATCCTTACCTCCTTTAGGATGCCATTGCAATCATCTCTGGTGCTGCTTGAGCTCTCAAACTGTTCCGTGTTAGCAGTGAGCCAAACTATAAAAGCATCAGCAAGATGCCATTCACTGTTGGGGGGGACAAAAGAACATCGCAATTACAGGTAACATTATATAAATTATATCATGCTTTTTTTAAAAATAAACCAACCTGTCTACGGTCAAATCAGGATGCTTTATGCAAGAAACTAATAAATTGCAGGGTATATGAAGAAAAGAGTTGCAATGTGTTGCCCACATCTGCAGAACAAAAATGAGTCATGAGGTTCCACTAGCAGAAACATGGTAAGGCTCTCTGAAAACAAAATACTTGCACAGAACACAAGGCATGACCAATTGGGGAAGATCACAAGACATTATCCAAAGAAGTAAATTATTTTAGCAGAGCAATTATATATTTCATAGTAAATGAACAGGAAAAATATAATTCAGACATCAAGATTATGTGTACACTGCTTTAATTTAACCAGTGGAAATTTACAAATTTTGTCTGCAAAACTTCAACCTACAATATGATACATGATGAGACCACAAGAATTTGTCACTCAAATTTCTCAAGATAAAAAATAAAAAATAAAAATTTGAATAGCAACTATCAGGTAGGTTAACTCAAACTTCAACTGCTTCAGGTTGGCGATGTGAGAATATTAGTGAATATTGTGTAAATATTCTGTATACTTAGCAATATTCTTATTTCCTTTTTAGTCTTTGGGTTAGGATTGCTATATAATCATATGTACTCTTTGTATTTTAACCCAAATTGAATATACAAGTTATTCAGAAATCTTACATGATATCAAAGCAAGGCTCAAAACCATAGCAATCATCGCAAAACCATCTATGGTTCTAATCTCTCGCTTGATCAAGTTCTCTAGTCATCATCGAGTTCTTCATCCTCTACTTCATCAGGTTCGTGAGACCCATCTAAGTTCGAATCCATCTGAGTTTGAATCGCAACCCGTCAATCGCGACGCATTTGGTTCGAGAAGACCCAGATCGTGATTCTCTGGTTCGAGTCGACCCTTCTAGTTTGAGACGGTGACCCATCTAGTTCGAATCGACCCATCTAAGCTTGGGTCTGCTCTGTCTAGTTCAATTTCTCTACCTCTCTAGTTCGTCATTCTCTCCACCTCTCGGTCTCTTTGATTTGTGACCCACATACCCTACATACTTCATTGTTCACTTTACGCAATTTCTTGCTTTTTACGTTTTGACCATAGTTTTTTTACTTCCAATATTGTGGGTTCTTACACTTGTTTGACTAGTACACTCACGATGTCGAATGAGAAAATTCATACCATCTGTTGAAGACTCACGGGTGCCAACTATGCTTATTAGTGTTATGAAAAAATTTTTACTTGGTCCAAAAAAATAGGGATATGTTTTTAGTTTTGTTCCTCATCTATCGAAATCAAAAAAGGAAGGGTATCGGGTTGCTTGTGACACTTGGGATTGTGACAATGTCCAAGTTCTGACTTGGTTTCACAACTCTGTGAAAAATCGTATTAGGATGATATTTTCCAAGTACGCTACTGCCAAATAGGTGTGGGACCATTTACTTGAAGTTTATCAACAGTCCAACTTTGCCAAGTGATATGAGTTGGAATCAGCGATTCAGAGTGCTTTTCAACGAGACATGTTTATTCACAATTTCTATATTGAGATGACAGGTCTCTGGGATTAACTTGCCCTCATGGAACCATCTAGCATTAAGATACTAGATGCTTATGTACAGTTTTGGAAGGAAGGTCGTTTAGTGCAATTTTTAATGACTCTTTCTCCTTAGTTTGAGGCTATTTGTTGCGGCATCCTTCACCGTTCTCCTCTCCCTTCTGTGGATGTTATTATTCGAGAGCTCCTCTTCATGAAAACCCGTCTCAAGATAGCCAGTCAGACTGTGTCTCCATCTATCTTTTTAGGGTGATTCTATTTGCACCCAAAAAATAATTTAGTACGCCCAATGTAAATTTAATAATAAGGACAACACATATTAAACCCTAAAATAAAAATAAAAAATAAAAAATTCTCATGATACACCCTAATCACTTATACGTATTCTTCATATTCAGGTCTCTTCATCTTCTTCTCCAAGTTTCAATTATTCTCTCTTCTTCTTCCTCACTCCAAAACTCCAATCCATTCCACTAAAACTCACCATTATCATCAACATCAATGTTTCTTATTGCGTTGTTACTTGCAAATAGAAGAAAGTTTGAACAAAATCACACAATGGATGAAAATAATAATCAAAACTGTGGATTGAAACAACCCATCAAAGAGGCGTTAAGTATGCACATAAATATCATAGTACAATTCTTGACTTATGTGTGTTTTTTTAACGTAAAAACGAATATTCAGCATGTTTTATGTCAATACTATTCAGACTTTCAGATCCGAACAAGTGAAAGTTTGAACAAAACAATCTTGCTCAGCACTGGAAGGCCGAACAAGCTGACTTGGACCAAATCTTCATTCCGTCCTTCTCCTTCTTCAACTTGGACCCAATGTTCTTTTTCTTCAGTAATTGACAATGAAAAGACTACGAAAATGATGACATGGCTGAGACGTGCCTGAGAATGGCTGAGATGAAGATGTCGTGGCTAAGAATAGCTGAGAAGAGAAAAGGGAGATTTTTTTTGAATTGATTTTATATTAAGATAATTATTTGGGTGTACCACAAAATTAAAATATTATATTATTCAAGGGCAATTTGTGAAAATTAATAGGATGTATTGAGAACAAATTATATATTTAAATAATTTAATGGGAAGTATTGAGAAATCAGGCGTACTAATTGATATTTTTGGTGTAAATAAAATCTCCCGTCTTCCTAGCTCTTACTCAGCCTCCCTTATTGTCGACCCTATCTACTTATCAACTTCAGGCCATTGCCAAGCCCAAAAAGAGGCCATTAGCATAAGATGAGTGTGCCTTTTGCCATTAGAGGGGCCATTAGAAGTACAACTATCCCAAGAAGGGACGTTCATCTGCTCTGGCTTCTTAGCCTCAATTTCGAGATCCTGCTCGGCCTCGTTTGGCAACCGAACATTTTAGCCAAAAAGTTACTAAATTAGCCAAAAAACCAACAACCCATACCAAAAGGTCAAATATTCTCTTTTCTCTCTACTTTTTGCACATCTTTTCGTAAAAAACCAAAAAATCATCCCAATCATACTAGTTTTTTTTAGCTCATATTTTAGCCAAATAGCCAAAAAGTTACTAAATTAGCCTGTTCCCAAACGAGGCAGAGTACTTTTCAACCTCCCACTGCTTATACTACATCTGTTCCAGCTCTCTTATCTCTCTTCATTCAAGTTTGTTTGGGTCTTCTTCAAGTATCTCTCCTTTTGTCAGGATTTTTTACTCTGATGCTTCTTATCATATGACTTCTTATCTCTGTTTTTTTTTTTTTGATAATCAGCAACAAAAACTTTATTAATAGTTCAAAAAAAGCAAGCGAGGATGAGGCATCCTCTTACAAAAGGACAATGGTAATACAAAAACATACAAAAAAATGAAACCTGTAACAAGCTAAACCCAAGCAAAAGCCTACATATCACACACCGCCAACCAATCCCTAACTAACAAAAAAAAATGGGACTCCCTTAAATAAAGAGCTCCCTGACACCCAAAAGGAAGTTAAGTGACATTATCCCACAAACAGCCCACGTCCCGGAATTTATCTTCAAACAACCTCGCATTTCTCTCCATCCATAGAACCCAAAAAGTTGCGAAGACGGCACAAGACCATAGCACTTTGGCTCTCTTTGATCCTCCAAAAGTGCGAAAATCAACTAGGAGCATATGCGCACCTCCTTTTGGGGCTACCCACATAACATTTCCCAAAGAAAACAATCTATGCCATAAATTCAAAGCGGTTAGACAAAGCAAGAATAGATAATCCACGAATTCCCCATTCTGACAACATAGAATGCACCGCTGAGGATTTAGAAAATGATTAGGTCTCCGTTTCTGCAATGTATCATTTGTCAAAATGCCTCCATGAACCAAGGCCCACATAAACACCTTTACCTTTAGGGGAGCACAAGCCTTCCAAACTTTTTTGCAGAAAGGAAAATGAGGAACATGAAGATTATCAATGATATAATCAAAAAAAGACTTACAAGAAAATATCCTGGACGAATGAAGAGTCCAAACCCTCTTGTCCTCCAAAAGAGGAGATAAAGAAAAATGATCAATTCTAGATAATAAAGAGGTCAACTGTGAGGCCTCCCTATCATTAAGATTCTTAGAAAAATCAAAATTCCAAGAAATTGGAGCCAAAAGTGAACAAGTCATGGAAGCAATTGAAGAATTATGAGATCGAGCCACTCTATAAAAATGTGAGAAGTCAGCAGCAAAAGAAGATTGACCCATCCAAACATCCTTCCAAAATTGAACTAGTTCCCCATTGCCCACCCTTACAGAAAGATGACGAGACCAACATGTGAAAATTTGAGAAATTGACTTCTAAGGTGCACAACAGTTACCCCTCAGAACCACCTGTGAATCCCTACCATTGTCATGAGTCCCATATTTGCTTCTTATAACCTCATGCCAAGGTGAATCAGTCTCAAGTGGAAATCTCCATAACCACTTGCCAAGAAAGGCCAAGTTCCTAGCCAAGATATTACCGATAGCCAAACCCCCTTTCTCCTTAGGTAGCGACACTAACTCCCAATTCACCAAGTGATCCTTTTTCCCTTCATCCTTGCCTTCCCAAAGAAAATCCCTCATCAACTTTTCTAATAACCTTGCCACCTTAACCGAAACCTTGAACAAAGATAAATAATAAATAGGAACACCACTCAAAACAGTCTTAACCAAAGTGTATCTACCCCCACGTGATAATAAAGCCTTACTCCACCCTTCCAGTCTCTTACCAATCTTTCCACAACTGGATTCCAAAAAGCTTCACTCCTAGGATTACCCCCTAATGGAAGACCCAAATACTTAAACGGAAGTGACTCTATACCACATCCTAAAAGTGTTGCCCTAAGCTGAAGCTGATCTTGCTGCATATTAATGCCCACCACACTACTTTTTCCCAAATTAATCTTAAGCCCTGAAATAACCCCAAAAAGTCTCAAAATCGAATAAAGATTAACTATCTTTCATCCACTGAAAAGAAAAATATGGTATCATCCGCATATTGTAAATGTGTCACACTAACTCTATCCCTCCCCACCTCCAACCCTGCAAAAAGACCTACTTCTTTAGCTATATCGACCCTCCTTCCA